GCGACAAGTGAGCTTGCGTGCGGAATGTGATCCAGCGCCAGAATCAATAGGCTAATCTCCATGTGATATTAAAAATATGTATTGTAAAGAATATTTAGCAACTATTATGAGTGAAAAAATAGCGCAAAATTTTAATTAAGGAATTGGATTTACTCAAGCACAGTTTCATTCCTATGCCGCGGTTCAGTTTTAATTTAAAAATGCGGATTATTATGCTAATTAGATTGACAAGACACAAAATATTTGCTTGTAAGTTTATGTCATTACGAATTTTCTCATTTACTTATTTTTCAGGTGTGACGCGTGTTGTAGGTAATCACAAAGGTGTACTTACACGTACTCGACAGCCCAAAATGGCAGCTTACGTAGTCAAAAGTCGGTATGAAAATTTAGAGAGAAGTTTAGCAGATCAACATTTGACGTAAATTAAGGATAGCAGTAGAATGATCCATCACTTATTTGTTGCAGCTTATTTTTGCTGTGTTTAATTTCGTAAGTTATTCGCTAAACTTATTTTGTTGAATTTAGAAAAACTTCTTTAAATTTTCGATTTCAATAATTTTCCTCAAATTATACATACTTATCAAAATAATTGAAAGTGTACTTCGAATTTTGAAATTACTCAAATATTTGTGTTTTTTTTTCCTCAATGAGGTTAAGTTCTAAAGTAGTTCTTAATTATTTGTAACTTAAAATGCAATTAATAGAATTTTAAAATGGAAGTTTGGAGGAATAATTATCATAATTTATTTACTTTTAATATGTGCAGAATTATTTATGACATTAAATATCATGTTAATAACTCCAAATACTTCTTTCTCATCAAATGTTTGCTACTTAGTAAATACTATTAGCATTGAGAATGCGTGGATCCTCAACGTTGATGGTGCCATTTTCAGAAGCAATAATTATAAAATGACTAATTAAATACCATAACTCTCAACTTTGCAGCACCTTATTATATTGAAACTAAACTTGTCCAATAATACTCTGTATCAATCTTATACTACTTAATACTTAAGTCAAAGACCTTATTAAATTTTTTTTGCTACTAATTTCCGTAACTTTAGTCATTGTATAATATTAAAAGGATAAAAAATTCCACCAAGATTACTGCTTGCAAAGCCTAATAAGAAATTTTATGAAGATCATATGGAAATGAAAACCTAACAAAGAAACTAGGGGAAATTTTAAATACAAGGAACTGAAATTAATTAGGCGGGCACTAGAAATATGATATGGCTTGTCGGTATTTGTAATTTGATAATGTGTGAAAGGAAAAAATGTTATCCATACTTGGAGCTTTTATTTGTATTTTATAATATCTTGATGCATGTAATATAAACTAATAAAACGTTTGGGTATGATGTCAGATAAACTATGAAATGACCAGTTTCAATGCCAACAAATCATAGTTTCCATGTCTACAACAATAAAATTTTAATCAAAAATGAATCATAGATTCATGTATCACATTCGATTTTTCAAGAAGTAATACAGATGTAATTTAGAAAAATCTGGAGCTTTCAGCTAAATCTTCTTCCTTCTTTGCTCATGAAGAAAAATTTCGAATGTTTGTAAAAATATCACAACTTTTATAAATTATTATAGACTATCAGAGGAGAAATTAAGGCTGAAACAACACCACTCCCTCCAGGCATTTCTTTCAAATAATTCTGAGTTTTGATCGACATGAACTTTTGTTTCTTGAATTAAGAATGAGTGCACAAATAGTTTCATTAACTTTGTGCTCCCTTTGTTGTCAATATAATCCTGCAATCTCTATCTGTTCATGCAAAAATTATACACGGAGCTTTCAGCTTGACAAGACTAGAAAATCAGACAGAAATCTGTGAAGTTAAAGATAATTAGTCCAGTTTCACACCATTTTCAAATTATTCATACTATATTGACTCCATGTATAATATACGAGACACTACTAAAGGAGTTTAAAGAGGCACAGTGCAGTGTAACACCAAATTTTTATGCTGATAATAATATTACAATAAAACTTGTAATGATTTCCCGACAATCACTGGATTCTGGAGCATATTTTGATGGAAAGAAAGCATTAGAAATACCCATGTATCAGTTGAATGTGTACAACACTTTGGTCAAATTTAATTCATATCAATAATTGTTTTGCCTCTTCCTTTCTTTTTCCCTACTTTCTCGTAAGCCGCAGGAAGTTCATTATAGTTAAAAATTTGATCGATTACCGGCTTCATCTAAAATTTAGAAAAGTGATTCCAGATATGAGAAGAATTCAAATGCTTTAATGCATAATATTGAACTTTGACTGCATCTAAAATCTTACTTTGCCATCTTTTAAGTACTCGGCGATTCGCTCCATGCACTCAGGATGTGGAGCAAAGAACGCATACGCATACCACTGTCCACGTTGAAGACCAGGCTAAATTATAATATTATGTATATATAAAAGAATGGAATTTATTTAGCATTTTATAAATATTAGGTAACGTCATCAGAATTTTCGGCAAAAAACTGCAGATTTTTAATTCTCATTCAGGAAAAAAATTGGATAACCACAAACAGATATTAAAATAGTATACGGTAGATTTAAGTTCTATTCCAAAAGATCATGAAATAACACAAACCAATGCTGCCCTCAAGAGGTACTGCGCAGCAGTTGAAACAACTCCCAGTAAAATTCCATACCTAAAAAAAGAAAATGAGTAATTTAAAAGTTGTACAGATACTTGTAAAGTATGCACAGAACCTACAGGATGTATGAATTTGCCAAATCTTTTTGCAAATAACTTATGAAATTACAGCTAGAACAGTACGAACAATATTAGACAGTACGAAAATTTTATTACCCTGTAAGATGCTTCTTTTTTACCTCTCATAACAAACTAAAAAAATTAGAATTTTGGTTCACTATAGCCATAAACTTTGATTTATGAATATCATCACGGAAAAGAATACAAAACAAAAGGTAAGTTCGGATGAATGTCAAGCATAAGATTTTAAATAATAGCTGAAACTAAGAAAGTTCCTCTAATTGAAAAAATGATTTCCTTCAACCAAAATATCTTTCGAATTAATTATACAAATGTATCAAAAGTTGTAAACCTGTCCGTGTCATTAAGAAGTGGACTCAACAATGAAACATGCACACAGTTTCTCCACAATCCCAATACCCTATCACTCCATTCTGCTAATTCCGATTGAACACAGTCTAATATTACATCAAAAGGTCCTTCGTCGATTAATTTTTGCAAGGCTTCTGGACTTCTGGCATTTATTGGTATAGCTCCAAGTTTTTCCACCATCTCAAAGCTAAATTACCATCATCTCAAAAGTAATTTATCAAGGACCAAAAACAGGAGGTTTAGAACGACTTAAAATTCCTAAAAATAATTCAGCAAAATTCACTGTGATATTACACTTGAATTTACCATTATTGAATAAAATGATTTCTAATACGAGAAATGAATTTAGTTGCTTAAGAAACAGAACTTTGCTGATATGGAAAAAAAATATTATAAATCGACATCTTGACTGCAGAGTCAAAAATAGATCAGATAACGAAGTAATAGTTTTAGCAAATCTAAGCTTTTAGCAAGAATTTTATATACTGAAAATGATTAATTAAGGAATACTGAAACTCATTACTGAGAGGACAAAAACTCGTATAACGTTACTTTTCCATATTATCATTATTGCCATATAGAGTTCCCCAATTAGGGTATTTAATAGCTAATAAAAACTATTTATCCTGTTTTCGTTAAAAATGGTTTTGTAACAATATTTTCTAATTATAAATGACTAACCAATCTTCCGAGCATGTTACGACTACTTTTTCAACATTCCAAGCTTTAAGCATTTGTATTGCTGTCGTTCCAACACCACCAGCACCTCCGTGTATTAATACACGTTTTGATGTAGCATCTTGTGGTCTGATTCTAGCTACCTAAAAAGATTAAAATCAATTGCTTTCGAAAAATTAACTATTCCTCGAAGTACATCTCGAATATTTGTTTACTTCATGGAAAGTATTTTTTATTACTCATCACAAGCTAAGAACAATAAATTGACAAAAATAAAAAATTCTGGATTTTACAACCGCAAATAATGAGAACAAGTAAAAAAATAATAAAGTTTATGAGTTACCATATGATATTAAACTAAAGCAATTTTGTATCTTTTAAGGAATATGAATTTGATATTGAGCAGATGAAAAAAGTTTCGCAATTATGAATAAATAGTTTATACCCATGCTTTTGAAATTTTGACGGGAAAAATTAATTATTCACGCATAAAAGAATTATCAATTTTATTTTTTCATTACCGATACAAGTGCTGACCAAGCAGTACAAGCTGCGTATGGAAATGCAGCACCATCAATGAAAGATATATTGGATGGCTTCATGACGCAATCTGATTCGTCAACCAGTGCGAATTCGGCATGTGTACCAGGACGAAAGGGGTCAACAACAGCAATAACCTGAAAAGTAAGATAATAACTGAAGTCAAGGCAGATAAAACAAAAAATACTAAACACCGATTTGTTAAGATATCAGGGCAATTTCATATTATGATGTCCCATATTTAATCCACATTAGGATTTGAACTAATGTTGAGTTTACATCATGTGGTAAAGTGTAAAAAATGTAAAAACAACAGACTGCAAAAACATCTATTTCAGAAAAGTTGCAGATAAATGTTGCAAAGGTTGAGATTAATGAAACGATTTAAATAAAATTATCCTTACTTTTTTTAAAATTAACTCCTAATGTTTTTTCGAAGGGCATTAACATCGAAATGATAAAAATAAAAAACTTTGTAAACTAAATTAGTGTTTTGATTTTTTGTTACTTGTATTACTGACATCATTTATTATAATTTCATGATAGAAAACTATCAAAAATCGAGAAAAAGTAGAGCAATTCTCATTACTTCATCGCCTTTCTTAAATCGTTTAACATTCATACCAACGTACTCAACGACACCAGAACAATCTCGTCCACCAATATATGGTAGTAGTACTGCAGGTTCAAATGAACAGTTTCGAAGCTTTTTTACTGCTGAACTGATTTCTCTACCGTATCCATTTCGCATCGCAGTATCAATTGGATTTACACTAGCTGCCTAACAGATGCAAAAATAAAAAGGAATAAATTAGAAACTACAGTACAATGATGTATGAATTATCTAATAAATACATACAACTTGTTCCTAGTAAATTTTAATTTGAAAGTTATAACAAAAGTAAGTAATAGTAGTAAATAAAAGATTAAAACAAACCTTAACTCGAACAAGCAATTCATTTGGTTTACGTGTAATAGGTATAGGTATATCAACTTTTTCCATTTCTTTACCGAACTCAGCTGTGATCCACGTCGACATTCTTCGTAACCAAGTTTCAATACCATTGTATATGTTACTGGTGTTTAGCAATCCAGAATGCAATCGAACAAGCATCTCAGACTTTAAGTAAAAAAATTCATTGCTCCCTTGTGATTTCGTCCTAATTTATTATACAGTCATTAATAGCTCACTTGATCAGATAGAATGACATATACTATTTGTACTGTTTTAATACGATACAGTAATAAAGACCAGAAGATTTTATCAGTCATCTTTTTACATATCCCAAAATTTATACAAAATATATGTTTGGCAGTTTTTTTGGATCATTTCATCGATAATTAATCAATTACAACGTCTTTGACAAATGAATAACATATGCATTGTTTGATACTTTACAAATTTAAGTCTCTCATGAGTAAAATAAAACTTGAAATTTTGATAAAACTGGAACAGTGGTAAATAACTATTATACAACAAATTTTTCAATAGAGCAAACATAATGCTTTATAATAAATTACTTCAAATATATTAATACGATTAAAATACTTTTACGACAAATGCAGTGACTAATATCCAGTTCATATTTATTTGATAAAGTTATTTAAATATACATAATGTACTATCAATCAGTACTTTTTTGTAGGCTATTATACAATGAAATGAATTAGTTCAATGATTCTGAGAGTCTAAGAAAACTCTTTACGCTGTTCCCTAAAGTCGAATTCCGATAATGCTTCAGTATTCATGCATGCTACTTCTGAAATACTGGTTCGGATCAAAACGAAACACAGTAACGAGCAATGGAAAAAAATTAAATCCATGCTTTCAAAAAATAATTATAGCTTAATCTAATGCAATAAGCTTAAATCCTTTTACCAAATTATTTTGATTACATTTTGAATTTTCGAAGTAAAGTTTCATAAGTAAATATTTTTACAATGTCCACTCTTTTCGATTCGTTAAGGGAAAAAATTGTTCAAGTTGTTTCAATTTAATCAAAAACTGCTCAAATTCTATATTATCTAACAACAAAATGTTAAAGAAACAGCATGATTAAACTATTTGATGATGCAATGTCAGTAAAAAATGCTTTAACTAATTAAACAATCTTAGTCTGTTGTCTTGAACAAAATGACCTGCAACATACTATCTTTACTCATGTTACAAATTTTAAGTTGGAAATTATCAAGTTCAATGACAGGTGTCTGACTTATTTTCGGAAATCAGTACTGCATATGAATTCAATTAAGAAAAATTAAAATCAGTTAGTCTTATGTAACACAATGCAACAAAGTAATTGGGAGGTAAAATTACTGGTCAAAATTATTCCAAAAGTTTAGTAAAATCGATTGTTTTGGTTTGAAAAATACTTCGAAACTCATTATTCAGAAGAACATCTAGTGAGATGTTATCACGAATGCTGATCCATTTCTTTTCAATGAAATCAAACCTGAAAATCCAATCCATTTATAATCATACCAAGTAAGCCGTAAGTTGGTAAATGTTACTTTTGCTACGTAAAAGTTTTTCCAACATATCATAAAATTCAAGACTCGTATTCGCTACATATTTTGAAATATTTTTTGTATCTTTCACAGATAAAAATAAATGTATGCAGATAATGAATGTAAACATCAAATCAAATATAACTTTTTTTTTTCAGTATAATACTTAATCTTATTCTATTATCACCTAGCTGCTTTCAATTTGTGCAAAATACATTGTTTCTATTTCACATGAATAGAGTATTTTCCATAAGTCTTGAAAAAAGGTACTCAAGTCTTATTTTATTACATGACAAAATTTGATAATTGGAAAGCTCCTTATTATAATGTTTGTTTTTCATGATCAAGAACTCAAATGCTTACTTTCTTCTACCATTACAAATTCATGAAAACAGACCTTTTGGGACCTGAGAGTGGTGAAGAAAGCCATATTTGACGATTTGGTGTTTGCTTATTTATTACATAGCTACCCGTTTCATTGCTAATTTTTGCAGTAAGAACACCCATTGACGAATTTACATCATATTCTTTATCACAATAAAATCTATCCGGAAAACTATCTAAATAGTCTGCCAACTTATCAAGTGTTTCATTGGCTAACTTTTCATATTCATCTTCCGATAATGCGTTTATGATGCTGAAACATCTTCCTGAAAATTAAGTACTAGCTAAAAAAACAAAAGTTAGAACACTATGGAAACAAAACAATACCAGTTAAGACACAATTTGTGCATAAAGATTTTTACACAAAATTAAAAGGGATTCAAGGTTTTGAAAAAAAAAGAACCTTTGGGAAAAACTCGCATATCCATTGCAGTAGAGCACAATCGCCGATTTAAAATATTTCTAATCATAGATTCTTAAATAATGGCCACGTAAAAAAGTAGAAATATATAAAAGTCAGAGATCATTTGTTAGACTAGATTTTTTATTGTTAATAAGGAAACCATACAATAAGTTTTAAATGAAAAGATACAAATTAGCTGGTATACTCGGCATCAAGGTCTCAGCATAAATATTTTATTCCAATGTTTACTTAAACCTACAGCTAGTAATCACATAACACTGAAAATATTGAATATAAATCATTGAATACCGGTAACAAGAAAAAAACTAAATTACAATAAGCTGAACTGACTAGTCAATCCAAATTATTTCATGTTTACATCGCACCATGAGTGTAAGATTAAGTATAACAGCAGAAATTTCAAAGGAAACCACTCCCAGAAAAAGGAGAATAATAGCGCAAAGTAATGTACTAATTTTTAGTTTTCAAATAATTTATTAGTGACTAACTCCACGCAGAAACCTGGAAAACTCATGAATATTATGAATGTTAGCAGACAATCAAAAATAAATGGCATCTCTGTTAAGACAATATAAGAAAAAGAATTACTGCCCAAACCTTACTATGAAGTTACCAACATACCGGGCAGAATTCAAGCATCTTGCTCAAATATTATGAATTGAAGTAGTAATGGTAAAATCCCTGCATAATATTCAAAACTCGCTGTATTCATCAATAATAGATTTCTGCATTCTAATACATTTTTATATACTCACAACCTACCGGCTGGTCCAAACAACACAAAAAATGTCTTCGACTGCTAGCGTATGTCTATGTTTTTGCTTACATTAAATTGAATTTTAAAATTAAACTCCCGCCCCAAAATTTTGAGAACAACTTTCTCTCATGGTTTTATTTACTTCTAGACAAAAAAGGCGATTCAAGCAGTTAAGATGCACGGTGAAGTAAGTGAAAGACTAAAAGAATTGCGCCAAATTGCGCAAAAAGAAGCAAATAATTCAGATTCATGTAACAATGAAACCGTACAAATACAGGTTGGAAAAAGAGTTTTTCAACAAACCAAGTACTACTACAGCCGCATATAGTACATGAATTAAAAAAGGCTGAATATTCCAGTTATTTTAATTTATTAATTCAAATATAAATACAAAAATTAGACTTCATGCTCCATGAATGCATATTATTTTCATGAATGAAAAATAAATTATCAAACAAAGACTGTTATAAGGAAAAATTTATTATTTCAAATATCAAGAGTTGAACAAAGGAATAATTTCAGGGTGGAGGTGAATTACATTATGTAAACACCAAAAACACACGCGCGTATTATTTGAATCATGAGGAATCATGGTTATATCTTGAACGTGAAAATGACGGTACATCAGGAACGCTATTTATTGTACGACGACTTCCAGATGGACGCCTGGTTACAAAACGTATGCAAAACTAAGCAAACAAACTAAAAGATTGTTGAGAGTAGCGACCGAAATTGAATTCCAATTTTTGACTGCAAAATATGTAAGTAATACGAAAGAAATTTCTCACAAAATTATAAACGTGGATTGTAAAAAAGGTTCATTTACTACAAGAGTGTGACAACTTTGATTAGAATCTACTTTCTTTTTAAAAACTAATTCCTTAAGAATGTGACGCAAAAATGCTGACAATTGCAATATTTGATAGTCATAAAAAAATTATTAAAAAAATTGATAATCACAAAAAAAAATAAGTAAATAAAGCACACCTGCTCACATTTTACAAGTGCATATAGAGAAGAAAATTAAATATTTTCTTTCATGATGGATATCATGATTTTTTCTGATAATATGGATTGAATGGAGATCTATCCTTTCCTACCCACTGACCAGGATCTTCCACTGGTTTTTGCCAGTCGACAAAATGATTTTCACTAAATTTAAAGAGCTTCGGAAATTTCTTTCTTTCTTCATCTGTATATTCGTCTGATCGTTTCGGAACGCGCTGTATCTGTTCCATCTATAAGCACAAAATTATATAGTAACGTTAAAATCACTCATCTAACTGTCTTAATACCTCTAAAATTAATGTTTATGAATATACTTATATTTATTAAATATTTTATCTCTTCTGATAATGGATGGTACTCCATCGCAGTAAAATTAGTGGTTCAAAAAAATAGACATCCCGAAGATCGACTGAAAATACAAATAACTCGATACAAAAAACGTTTGGTTCCACGATAAACACCTAGACTAAAACATTTATTACTTGATTTCCGATATTTCTTCGCACAAACGATGGCAGTTGATCATCCGCAAATAAATGCAATCGTTCAATTAATCGCTTACGAAGCTGATTGTGATCAAGACCGCGATATACAGTTAAATGCATTAGGCGACATGGATCAAAATCATGAATTTGCCAGGCTGGATAATCTACTTTTGCTTTTGGCATCTCCTAGAAATATACAAAAAACATGAACAAGAAGCATTTTCAGTAACAAGTAACTGATTCTTTCATGACTGAGATTCTTCAAAACAGTTACGAGTATATCCCTACAATGATCAAACACTCAAAAACTGTATTTATACTAAAAATTCATTTCCTGATACGTAACATCAAGAAATGTTACAACAAAAATTTTGATCAAATTCAAAAAAAAAATACTGCATGGCCTGAATGAAATCAATTGCAAGCATGACCAGCTTTATGAAAACTGAAAAGAATAATACAAATAAAAATTCCCAACTGAACCTTGTCGAAAAAAAAACGCTGATTCTTCCAATTAAATCCATGCATTGCAACATCTTTGCAGTTTATTACTACAACGTGATCACCACAATCAGTAAATGGATGGTAAATTGGTTTATGTTTACCAGACAAATATTGAGCAACTTTTTTCCCAAGTATCCAAACATCCTAAAATGCAGGTATTAAGAACTACAAGATATCATATCAAGTGGAAAAAACAAATTCTACAGAATATACTCGAAGAACAAAATGTGCAATCCACTTTTCAAGAACTATTCAAAGCATAAATGACTGGGAAATTACCTGTCCAGTTGCATCTACCAGATGCCACTGACGTGCAAATAATAACCACTGGTTCACTCTTCGCATTCGACCAGTAACCATTTTATCCAGATACAAAAATTTATTTAGAAATATTATATTTAGTAACGAAGTGTAGGAAATATATAGAATTAGAATTCACATGAAAGAACCTAAAGATTAACAAATACTCGATGAATCGTCGAACTAAACTGTAAATTCAATAGTTTGTTTAAACTGCAGTCTGAAATGAAACCTTTGGTAAATTTCTGCCAGCTTGCACAAAAATTAGAGACATCAATCACATATTTATTATTCATTCCTTTTTTCTCTTTAAATTTATAAAAAACGATATGAAAGTCCTGAAATGTTTTTTAACACATACAGTCAGATCAGACGTAAGTGGAATGAACACAAGAGTTACAACACTTCGCGGATTACGTTCACGCGAAATGTTCACTATTTGAAACATAAGCGTAATAAACGAAAATAATTGTGAAAAATAAATTCTCAGTTATATACAACACAACTTGTTTTTTCTATGATTTTCACATTTTACATAATTAATAATTGATTATTAGAAGTGATTTTTTCTAATAATTAATTACTACTATATGCATTCGCTAGCACGATTAGTTTCATGATATGAAGGACCTTGTCTTCTTTAAGTGAACAATTTTACGAAGACAAACCAAGGACAAAAACACTAACATTCCAAATATTTCTGTGTTTGACGAGAAACATTGCATAAATTTAGAACAGTAATGAATATAAAAAGAGAATAGTTATAAAAGTGAGCACATCTGAAGTAAATTTGGTTGTAAAAAGAGTTGAAATCCAAAAAAAAAACAGTGAATATTACAGCTAATATTCTGCCAGTTAAATAGATTTGTGATACTGACGTATTTATGTAAGTTCCACAAACTGACGAACAAGAGTAAAATAAATGATAAATAAGGATACTGATAAACTTATAGAAGCGGAATGTCAGAAAAAGTGATTTCTGATATAAAAGGAGCAGTCAAACTACCTAAATGCGAAACTGAAGACGAAATATATGAGACAGAATCACCAAATAACTTGACCTTCATATTCTGGCAGTACACACACTTTTTTCAAAGTTTCATAAATTACCATTGTTGTCGTGGCATACATACAACTATTGATCATCCGTGGCAAAAGACCTTTCGTTAATATTCTGCAGCCTTCATCTAACCACATTGTTTTGATTGTATCTACGTAGGAAGCACGCTGGATCTGTACAAATTTCTGGATACTTTAAATAAACAAAAACAAGCATCAATATTACTGACCATGAACAGACTCTATTTCTTAAAAATACTATTTTGAAGACTCTAGAAAATTATTTTGAAATAAATCTATGTTCTTCAGCAAACAGAAATGGAATAAATTAGGCAAAAATTCAGCTTCTTCAAGTAGTTTTCAAAAATATGTTATTTTCTGATCTCTAAAAACAATTAAAACACTTTCACTACCTGCACTCGTAATCGTAACATTTCTAATGGATTTGTAGAAGTTGTAGCGACAACAGAAGACATCGCAGCAGCTGCTCCTTGATCAATAAAAAGATATGGATGACCTTTTTCTTCGTATCCTGAAAATTACTGTAGTTTTTAGATGAAAGTTCTTTTTTGTAAAAAAAATGTAAAAGACGACTGAGTTACTATTTACCTAGCAATTTGTGAAGAAATTTGTTCCTACACCATCGAATACTTTCTAAGCAAGAGTAATAAACAGTCCAAAATATTGCTCCACCAGATATTCCCAATGCTGTTGAAGCCAAGTAACCCCTAAATTCAAGCAAAAAAATGGGCTGTAAGGATGGAAAATAAAATCGATTTTTAGAAATAAATTACATTCAATTCGGTAACATCCATTTAATAAATTGTAAAAACTAACAAACTTTCAAAAAATATTAGTTTGCTCGACTTTCTGCATGAGATACAATATAAAGAAGAGAGAAACTGTTTTTGCAACAATATTTGATTTATAAATAAAGATTTTTAAGTTATATACAGAAATTTAAAGCATTACGATATAAAACCGCACTACCGAATTAATTTCACCAGTACTTGAAAATATTATCCATTTTTTTTAAACTACCTAAATAAACCCCGAGAACCATCAACATGATACAAAGCATGAAGGACTTGAAAAGCTGGTCGAGAAGATAATACAGCTTTATTTTGCTGGATATAATTTATAACAGCAGCATGCTTAGTATCCCCTTAAAAAGTTATCAAGATTATTTTAGAGATTATATATTGAATAATCATTAGTAATAATTTTTCTTTAGTTAAAGACACCGTACATGAACCTATAATTAATATATATTTAATATATACAGTTCGACAAAATCAGTCATCACTTGTTATAAACTATTTAGTAAGTAGTAGTAAGTAGTAATAGTCGTAGTTTTGAACTGTTTATTATACTAGTCTATAAAACTTATTCCCTTTAAGTATTAATCAAATCATACCAACAAAAGCAGAAGGATTATTGTAAACAATCATATATTGTGAGATAATGTCTGTGGGAACGAATATTACTTGAGTTAGAAGCGATACCATACCACCTAAAAAATTACAGCCACTACACCCTTCATTAATACGATGTAAAAAATTTGTGTAATGACAAGAAAATATTCTATAAATGACAAGCAATATTGTGAATTTTCAGTCGTTTTATTATCTTCTGTACAAAACAGCATAATTCAAATAACCATAAAAATTAATTAAATATTAGAAATTATAAAATAATTCCATTGTTTCTTAAAAACTTTCAATAAAAAATACCACAAATTTTTTTTAACTCTGAAGAAAGCATAAGTCTGACTTACCAGCTAATGACGAAACTAATTTGTCTGATGATAAATGTAAATGAAATTTTAATGATTCGCGTGTTTTTTCATATGCATTGCAATATATCAGTGGAGCAACATTTTGTGGAACGGTCATTAAAAACCCCTATAGTAAAATTAATATGAAAGTAAATTACTCGAAACTTGTATAATAACCGATTTTGAAAACATATTAAAATGTCCTCTGCTTTTTTTCCTTTTTTTATTTTCTTTGAATATAAATCAATATTGTGAATTGTGAATTCAAAAAATACTATTACATGAAAAAATTTTAATCAGAAAGAGAAAATCATGGATTAAGAACTCGAGTAAATGAATCAAATCGACTATTCCTTTGCCGTAAAAGTACAAAACTTTACCGAAAAGCAAAAGTTTATGATATGAATAAAGTTTTTAACAATATGACTAGATTCATAGAATACGTATTTAGATAGGAATCTGCTCGCTAAAGCATAGGGAGATGAATCAAAATAAATATATGAATCAAGATTCCTAAAACTAAATGATTAAAACTTACTCTATACAAACCACGCAAACCCTCATTTCGAATTATATTCACCAAAGCATGCCGCATTCCTTTGTAAACTGTATTTTGTTTCTGTAATTGTAGACGAGATTTGACGAAATTGAATGGATATATTAAAAATCGTACGGTGCATGATGACATAAAAAGATAAGTAGAGAGGCTGTATTTATCCAAATGCCTCCATTCGATTATCTTTAGCTGAAAATCATACAAGGAAAAAGTGAAAATACTTTACATTCATTAAAAATCAGAAAATTTTTCTTCATTTCAAAAGCTCATAACCCTAAATGATAAATTCTTGTCTTCTACCTCATCACATAATTTTCCATACCCCTTTCAAGACTTTAATTATTCTTGGCACACAGTATAATGCGACATAAACTTTAGCACTTTGACCGACTTAAAACAGTTTTTAACAAATAAAAACAAAAGATATACCACCTTCTACTTATTATATCCATGACACGTGTACTTCAGAGTTTATTTCAAACTCCTAATAGCTGAAATCCTATCCTATTAAGATCGCCTGTTAATTAGATTAGTTCATTCTAATCTATAACCCGACATATAAACATAGCAATCACAACAAACAATAACTTCTGCACAATTTAATTCAGAGATTTCTGCAATATTATCTGCAAAAAAAGAAATCGTACCCCATACTCGGTTTCAGCAGGTGAACTCATAAAAATAGATCAGATCAAGGTTGCATGCGTACCAACCCAAACGTATCACTGAAATAAACTGACTAGCAAACACATCTTCACCGACAGATCCACTTACAAAATATTTATTAATAATTTTAGTACATATAATTATATCTAAAATTGCATATACTAGGCTAAAACTTTTCAAAACAACCTTTCATAAGCTATAAGACTACAGCTTGAAACCACTATCTTTTAAATTCATCTTCAGTCTCTTTTCCATTTAATATGAACAAAGTCAACTATACAAAAGTACCTAATGAGAAATATAGAACCCAAAACTTGAAGATGATGTAACAGAAAATGAAAAACAGAATGTCATACAGACAAATACTAAAATCTAGTCTTCTTTTATTTGATTGATATTAATTACATATAAACCACCACTTTAACATGAAACAATCAGGCAAGTCAGATCCAGAACAACTGATGACATAATGAACTGCATACTGAATTACTTTAGCTATTCATTCTTTGTCACAAAGATAATGAATTTCCACACATTAAACAATGATCGTTAACAATTCAAAACATTAGTTCATGAATTTTAAATTTAAACTCAGTTCATAAATCCTTAAATTCAAACTTAGCTCACAAATTTTTAAATTCAGGTTACAGTATAGGCTGCCCTAAATGTCACATCTCTTTAAATCTGATTTATTAATGGGCAGAAGATCTAACAAGAAACATCAAAGTTACGCATAGTAATATAGAGATGCTTTTTTCTTTGCTTGAACCTCTAGAATTGCATCCATAAAATCTTCATGCACCACTTCAATAGCATCACGTCTCAAAGCAATCATACCCTACAATACTGATAGAACAAGTGAAAAATAATCGAAATCTCTGAGTTATGAATAGCAAATTACATAAAAATACTTTACAAATCTAAGATTTCCACTACGGTAATTTGAAAGAATGACAAATGATTTGGAAAACTTGTATGAGATAAAACACTTAATGACGAGTAATATTCGATATTGTACAATTTCAGTGAAAGTCTCACCGCTTCAACACAAACTGCTTTGCACTGCGCTCCATTGAAGTCATCTGTACATCGAGCTAATTCTTCAAAATTCACATCTTTGCTGCAAAAAAATTCCCACAGTCTACTGTAAACGAACTTTTTTATTAATCGTTGATCACAAAATAAAATGAATTCGTTGCGGTACAAACATCAAGTTTAATCGAACATGCGACACTAAGATAACATTAAGACTGCATTTTTTTTCATACGCTGAGACTGAATTTGCACAAACTTTTGATCGCAATTATCAAGCACGAGACTTCGTGAACATAGTAATTGTTCTTTTAAAGTCTGTGCTCCGGCAACGGAAATTTGAACTTATTTGTAGTTTACTCCAATGAGTCTTAATTGAGAGTTCCAAAAAAAAATTATATTAACTTACTGAACGTTCATTTTACGAGAGTGAATTTGCATTATACGTGCACGAGCATCTTCAGTTGGATTCGGAAGTTCAATTTTACGATCTAAACGACCACTTCGCAAAAGAGCAGGATCCAATACATCGACTCGATTAGTTGCGGCAATGACCTATGTAAAAAGTCACATTTTATAATAAAAAGTTACATATGATAATGTCTGTATTTGTTCGACAAGAAGTGAAAGAAGTATATGCTTACTTTGATGTCATCATTTGGCTGAAAACCATCTAGCTGATTTAGTAACTCAAGCATCGTCCGCTGTACTTCACGATCACCAGCTTTTTCAGAATCAAATCGTTTAGTACCTCAAAAATGAGTATATGGGTAAAGCTAGTAATCTTTTAAAAATTTTTTATATGCATTAAAGCACAGATCTCAGTGAACTTCAATTTGTAGTGATCATATTAACAACAAATTTTTAACTTCAACGAATATATGACCTTTGAATTTACAACTATTAAAGTATGAATTTAGCATTAGGGGACTCAATTTCATTAAACCTGTTGGTAAAACTGTCATGTTAAAGTCATGTTAAACTTCATTTAATGAAGCTTTACCGATAGCGTCCAATTCATCAATAAAAATAATGGCAGGCGCTTTTTCTTTGGCCAAAGCAAAGGCGTCACGAACTAGTTTCGCTCCATCCCCAATGAACATTTGCACAAGTTGAGGTCCTGCCAGTTTGAGGAATGTTGACTTAGTTTGTGCGGCTACTGCTCGAGCCATCATTGTTTTACCAGTACCTATAGAAGAATATGCTCCCATGATTAAATTTAAATGCGTGGTCAGTGATGTTTCAAATCTAGTTAGATGAAGAGCCCAACAAATTTTTGAGTGGTCCAAAGCCACTACAACGATTTAATAATTTAATTTATAATAACAAAACTATACAATATAAAAGGAGCTCCAATATTACCTGGTGGGCCATAAAGCAAAACACCCTTTGGTGGGTGTATTCCAAGATTAAGGAAGCGATCCTTATGAGTCATTGGCAATACTACTGCTTCGATTAACTCTTGAATTTGTTTATCACAACCACCAATATCACTGTATTGTTCATTTGGACGCTCATCAACTTCCATAGCTTTCACCCGCGAATCATATTCAGCAGGTAATTTCTCGAGAACCAGGTATGAATCCTGAACCCCCTCATCATTAGAATGTGAATGTTAGCACTCACAAGCACACAAAATGCATAACAAAACCTGAATGTTTCTATTTTTCACAAATATATAAAAAAACTAGAAACCAACTTTATTTACTCCAACAAGGTCGCCAGGCTTCAATTCAGACGGATCCACTAAACCAACAACGGGTAAAAAGTATGTTGCACGAGTCGATGTTTTGATAACGGCACATTTAGTTTTATGTGCGTCCAAATCAACATTTGCACCCTCATCTTCTTGAAGTTCTTCCAAAAGCAGCAACTCAACAACATTTGATACCAAATACGGCAAAGTTTTGTTGACCTAGAAATATCTTAATTTTTGAACTGAAATTCGAAAAACGAATGAATTCAAATCATCAAATTTTTTTGCAGTGACTAAATTATTTTTTTCTATTTGCACTTACTTTAATACGTTCTGTATTTTCTTTAACGTGATCCTTTAACGTCTGTACTGAATGACTAATTCTTTGCACTTCTGATCGCATAATGCGAATTTCATTTTCTACTAAATGTGTTCGACTCTTTATATCATCCGCTGATAAACGAAGAATTTCCTCATCTAATGGAACCTGAAATGGTTCTTTCAAGCAACTTTCAACTATTTCGCTACAGTAGGTATATTTCCGCGTGTCTCTTTTTTGTACCTGATAAATTTAAATAATACAACAACTGGGCATAAGCCTCACATGAAACAATTAACAAGAAATAAAGATATAAGGCTTTAGACAAGTTTTTAAAAATCAATATGATAAAATTTCAATAATCTCGAAAGTTAATTTCTAAGCATTCAAAAACAAAATGAATACTTGACTTGTTTTTAATATTGCAGCTAATACTACTAAATTGCAATCAATGAACTATGAGGTTAATAAGCTAAAATTCCGATAAAATCTATAACTTACATCCTCAACTTCTTTCTGTTCTTCTTTCTTGTGACCACCATCTGTAGACGGCTTAGATGTTGTCTGCGTATTAGTCATTACACAAAATCTTAAATTTCAAAATTTTAATTGCTCATAAAACGACACACACCCATCATATCGATCATAACTGTATTATAATTCTAGCAAAGGTTCACTAAGTCCAATCTTTCTTCCCTGCATCAATTAATAATGCAATTCACAAGTCTATTCTCTACCTGACTTAAACATCACTATTACCAAACAGAATTTAGACTCCAAACTACTGCTAAACGCTAGTCAAACGGAATTATTTCTCATGCGTGACTTACAATTACTTATGGCCGGCACCTTAAAATACCGCAAAATTTACATTGTAAATTTTTTGGTAAACGATGTCTAACGAGGAGCCAGTATATGTAGGATTTGAATATACATATAATATACATGGGGGGATTAGATATGTGTGGGGTTTTACATTAGGAACTATCGTTTTCTTTTGATTCTAAGCAATAGTCTTGCATGTGCCTAAAATTGACAGAAACAAATTATCTATAGCTTTGGAATTTTAAAGCTGCTTTTTCGTGACTGATTAGTGGATTTTGCGTGAAGTATGAGTCTTCCGTTTTCACAAATTCACATATAAAAATGCTTTTTCAAAAAACTTTATCATTGCTAAGCAAAAATAATCATCTATATCATTAATTAATTATGATATATAAATTAAATCATACTATAACAAATGCCTTATATAATATATACATAAGGGGTTTGAAATGATTTTAATAATTACTACGGTTTTCATAATCAATTTTCAGTTTTCTGAGGATACATCTTGTTTTTTTACTAGCATTCATTATTCTACGTCTGACATACCTAAAACCTTCTAAGTAATTTTTCATATTTTGAGTTATAACGTAGTAGACTTTAGCGTTATTAGCATTGATTTAGTAATTACTCATTTAACTACATATTAGCTACTGGTAAAAATACAACTTAAATTCTTGAGGTTACATTTTTATATTACCAAAATGCTGATAGAGCAAAGGGGTCGAAAAGTGTAGTTAAATCAGAAGTAAGTCAAAGCTCGACCGAGGCGGTAAATAACTTATAAAGAAAAAATAGTAACATGGCGACTTATTGTTGATTTTGAAAGTATCAACATTAGTTCTCCTTCATTTCAGGCATCGTTTTACACATTAAAACAACTTAATACGATCAATATTCAACTAATTGCTTTATTCATTCTAATCCATCCGGAATCTATCGCGTGTAGAGGTCAGTCAGTCTTCTATACTTTTTGTTCTATGAAGTTGTTTCGAGCATTGTAATTTAAGAACAAAACATTCTGAAACACTGATATTTAGCTCTTTGCAATATATTTATTCGCATTAGGAAAGGGAACAATTTCAAACTTTGAAATTACTAATTTAAACAATTTCAACTGTATGAAATAGGTTGGAACAGATAAAATAAGGGATGGTTCTAATCCATCGATGTTTTAATCAAGATTATTTTTGTGCTTTGAAAGTAGTATTCCATGAACCCAGTCGCTGTGTGTAATTCTAGTTGCAAGTATTACTTCATTTTGAAAGTAAGTTTAGCTAGGTAAATATATAAAGATGAATATATCATGAAATCGAATAATTACAGCGCAAAAAACAAAGCCCTTTTGCGTTTTATTTGTGAGGTAGTACCTTTAGTGAATGTGAATGAATTTAAGAATAAGTTCATTAACTTACGCTAAAAATTGATTTCAGGATGTCTAAAAGTTCCGATGCAGATATCAAATTAACTATTTGGTCGAAGGATAAAGTTGATGCAAAAGGTCGATCAAGAATTTGCTGGAGAATCAAAGACCAGACTCACGTGGGCAGAAATCATCGTGGAGTCAAGGAGTCTGGTGGCAGGACTAGGACAATGTCGAAGAAAGAAGCTTTGTGCTATCGGAGACCAGTCATTTTGGAGATTCTATTCGAGCATAACTCGTTGGATGTGCTTGTCGAAGCCTTGAAAGAAGCTGGTGATGACGCTGTGAGTATCTATGTTTGAAGTCTTTTTCATTTTTTACTTACAAATTTTTCAATTTTTCTCGCTAAAGTTCTTCGTTTCATATTTAATATTTGTTTTATACTGATCAAGTTCAAAAAACTTGGCCAAAAATAATTTAGGGGTTAGTTGCTATAAGCTGTATTGTAACCAAATCATTTCATTTCATTCATCCAAATAAGGTGTAAATTTTAGTCACTTCAGTCAATTTACGATGTACTTTTTTAAATGTATTTGGCCTTTTTTTCAATTAATATGGAACTTAATGAGCTAATTAAATGACCGTATTTTCTGAATTTTTGAGGTCCGTTTGAAAAGTGGAGGATGTTCTAGAAAAAATTAAAATACACTGTAACTTATTCTCATGAAGAATTTTTTGTCCGTTTGTAATTTTAAAAATATTTTAGGTTCAAGCATTTCTTGCGGATGTCCGTTACCTTCTGATTTGCAATTCAGATGCAAGAATGGCGGATATTTCTTACATGTTATCGAAAATGACTGTGTTGAGCGGGTTTTCCTACAGAAATGAACGTGGCGTTAGTGATGAAACTTTTAAAGAATTGTTTCCCGCTCTGGCGAATGCACAGGTCTTAATTTATAAACTGTTTTGTGGGGTTATAAGAGATGCAATTGATAATTTTATGCCAATAGAATTTTCGTGTGGGATTTGAAGCAACTAAAAAGCTATAATTCACTAAAAATTTTACAAATTACAAAATCTCAAAGTCCCGCTAATATTTAGGTTCGGGCAGTTGACATTAATGGTTCTTGTCCTAAAGGTGAAGTTGAGTTGCTTATGAAAAGCTTAAACGTTGAGTTGATCCGATTTCACAGATATCCAGGTGTAGATGTAAGTATTTTATTGTTTCCGTCGGTCGGTTGTTTATATGCTGATACAAGTGTTCTGAATTATAATCTTTTTTGAATTTGACAGCATACATTGTATTATATATGTATATTGATTTCATTTAATTTTTTAATATACTTTTTCCGGCAAATATAGCCAGCCAGAGTGCCGAAGCACGATCTAGCGTCAGAATCAATAAAGCGAAAAAGAAGACTAATCTCCACATTTTTTCTTTCTTTTATATATTTATTCAGGTTTCCTTATTCGAGAGTACTTCACTTATAAACTCCAGCGTTGAGTTTGTTGTTGCACAAGGTATACGACCAGGCCAGAAAGACGGGGGAATGAAGTTTTTAAGTAGTATAACAAGAATTTTCCCTGGTATTAAAAGCCTCTACTGGGATTGGAATATGATGCCCACATTAAATGATATGAACGATGAAGTTATCGCTTGCATCGAATATCTAGTGAACATTTACAAGTTCGTTTAACTTTTCATCATTTCATGAAAATAATTTACACAAGTGCTTAAAGTTTCTTAATGGTAGTTTATAATTATTTACTTGACCTCTTTCATCTCTGTCTGAAAACTTAATCATTTAAGGTCAGCTTAGGTCATATGATAGCTTTGAAATTTCATCTTACAATCTTCTTTGTCTTTTGAACCTTTTCAAAGTATTGGATATTCATTGTTAAATGTTTTGGAACATTTTTTCGACTCCTAAAAATCCTGATTTATTATCTCGACGAATGAAGTATGGTAACATTGATTATTCTTTTGCAAGCTCGGGTTAACGTTACTGTACATTTAAACTGTTCACGTAAGGTCGTACATTGAAGGAAATGATATTATTGACCTTCGTAGTCAAGATTGGAATCCATTCGATGCGATTTCATGATGACCTAATTCGACGATTTAGCTTATCGCTAGTGATTCATCTATTCCACACGGGTTATTTTATGGTTCGGGTCAGATAATCTTCAAATGATCTATTTTCGTTTTAGATGTGTTGTTTGCAGAAACCACTTCAAGCTTTTGACAGCGAGTGTTTTTGATTGTTTTATCTAATTGTTTTCATTCAAAGTTGTAATAAACGAAATTTGATATCTAACATTGTGAAAAATGATTTTTTTTAACGATAAAAACAATAGGAACTTATTTAAGGCAAAATAAATTGAATTTGTTGGCGGTACTTATGAGTATGCCATGTAAAGAAAGTTTACAAGCAGTACCTAAGGCGGGTGATTATTTGCTGTCATTCAACTTACCCAATTCTATGTTCCTGGAAGTTGTGGCAAAAGACAAAAAAAAATCTGGTGATGTGACAAATTCAATGTTCTTCATTGCTGGTTTGTTATTTCCAGTCGTTTTTATGTCACTGAAGTTTCTTAATTCGCAGAGCTTTTCATAGTATGCTCACCTGTATTTTAAATTTAATGGAAGAAAAATACCGTCCATATCTTTATTTGACCTTCTGTAGAACGCAGCATTTGTCAGGTCATCGGTAGATGTTTTTTTCAGGAACATCAGAAAAGATGAGGCGTTTGGAAGAAACTATTTGTGAAATGGGAGTGACAGAACCAGATCTGAGACATTTCCTCTATGTTCTTGATAGGAATTTGGACATTCGGGACCAAGAACACACACATGAATTTTTGGGTTTTGATGTCTAGTGCATATATGACGAAGCATTTGTTTACTGCCTATTCATATTCAGTGTCCTAGTACTGACTGATCCATATGACTCCATGTTGCTTTGACAAAATCAGGTGGAAACCCTATATCAGTATACTAGTTTATCCGTTAAGATTTGCAATTTTTTGATTGCTTGGTTATGATTTTTTTTTTCATGTATCCTGCGATCTCCATTTTTTCCCAAAATGTGAAATGAGAAAATATTATCTCACAGCAAATAGCAATGATGTCATCACTCTGCAGGGTTATAAATTTTTATTCTTTTGCAGAGAAACCACACATTTTAAATACAAGTATGAAATTAACGGTTTGGTTTTAGTATGGGCATTCGGCACTAGAAATCTTTAGTTTTTTACTTCGATAAGATCAGGATTATAAGAACTTAAAACAGCGTAATGATCAATAACTATATGAGTAAACTTAATTTGGGCGCAGGAGTACACTATTGGAAGCTCTGATAGGTTTTGTACTATGATGCATGCAACTAAAACCAATATGTTGGCTGCAATTTGCGCTCGTCCTGAATACCCATCTCATCGGCAATCTCTTCTTCGAATGATTTAAGCACTGGTTTGTAAGTCTTCTCAAGAGCAATATTCGCCGGTGTGTCTTTACCTTCTACCTCTGCATCCGTTTCATTAATTAGTTTGCTTAGTAATCACAGTTCACGTAATTTCGTTGGGAAGAAAAGTGAATTACCACATAAAAAAGAAGCTTAAGTGGCTTTACTTCCTAGTGTAACACCATAAATCAATAAACGCACCAACATATCGATCAGCAGTAATATATTCAGAAGTAGCTTGAGCTAACTCTGGAACTGGAATCTGAAATCCAGATCTCTTGCTAACACGTATGTATTCACTTTCTTCTTCGTTCAATACCCATTCTGCTTCACACGGTTCGCTTGAGAAGAATGTTAGATTAAATGAAATCAAAATTTAATGAGGTGTTGACATTATAAAAGAGTAATTTAGTGTAAGATGAAGACAATACTTAATAACAAAACTGTCTCTGGTCAATGACATACTTATCACTTGGATCAACCAATTTCACTTGTCCTTTATGAATGTATAACGGTTGCTCAATCAATCTATAGAATGAAAGCATGCCACTTGCAACACCTTTTTCGTTATCGTCTACAAGTTTCTACAAATAAAAACTTAATAATGATGAAATGATAAAGCAAATTCAACAAAAAGCTCTGTGATATATCTAGTTCAGTCAGTGCAAAAAAATAGCTGAAATCAATCAAAATAAAATAAATGAAACCAATTCAAATAATTTTATTTTTCGGTCTATCAATCTTAATAATTCTAATAAAGTGGGGGAAATTACCGTATGCCTTCCTCTCACAATCACTGCATTAGTTTCTTTGTTAACTTGTAAGACCACACCTGTTTTACCTTTGTCCTTACCAACCATAACTTGAACTAAATCTCCCGGAAATATATTCCATTCTTCTCGTGGAATCGCAACGGATTTCTTGTGCCTTCAAATGTTTTATACGATAATTATATGTAAAGATAAAGTAAAGGAACAATAAAGAATTTGCTATATAATACAAAGCGAAGAATGCAGGTTTATTTAGTCATACTCCCAGGTAATATTTCATACATGAAGTATGACCAAATGAATAATTATTATGAAACTTAAAAAATTAGAATTCGTTTTCAAATCAAAAAGAAAAACTGATTCTATCAGATCAACTTTTCTGATATTTGAAAAAAGTAACTGCGATATGTTAATGTAGGAATCGTTGTTTTTAATAAAAAAAACAACGATTCCTACATTAACATATCGTAGTTTACCATAAATTGATGCATACATGCATAAACAGAATGGAAGGTAAATGTAAAACAATCGAATTCAATAAAAAACTACATTTGCTACTACCTATTCAGTAAATAGTTGACTTACCTTAATTCAAAAAATTTATGCATCAATTTATGATGATGATATTCGTGAGCTCGCTTGGAATTCTTTTCAAACACATCCAATTCCCAAGGACGTCTATCAGACGGTACATAATCCTTTGGATGCAACCTAAAAAAATTTATATAAATAAAAGCTCGGTTTGTGCTGGAATTTATTTAAATGTATAACAAATGAATTATTTAATCTATTGAAACTGAATTTGTAGGCATTTTCTACATACATATGATATTCATCTTCAAACTCGACAGTAATCATAAAAAACTTAAGTGACTTTCAGAAAAGATGGGATTAAGAGGATTGACAAATATACTTGACAAATTTATAGATAATTAATTTCAAAAGTTTTGTTACAATTGATTAAATTATGCTTACGTCCAACGAATAATATCAGGTGCCCCATAACGATTTGTATAAATTTTTTTCGGTACTGTACGTTTTACCTTTTCAATATATTCTTTAGGAATATGTTTAGTATAGTCCAAATCAAGATAGGACCTTCGCACACTATGCCACAATACGCGAGTTGGCCCCATTCGGTATTTGTTACCTGAAACATACCGTATCACCAAACTGACTTTAAACTGATTTTTTGCTCACTAACTGTTTTTTAATTAATAAAAACTTTAGTGAATAACTTATGTCTACTTGCGATGAAAAAATTATATTCTACTAAACTGTACTGAATAAAAAATTACTCCAAATTAGTCTGTCCGTACCTTTTCTATTTCTTGGTGCCTTTAACTCTAAACAATTTGCTATTACTGTTCATAATTGTGATCTGAAAAAAAATAGTATCGATGATCATAATTAACTCGCTATTATCGTTATCTGCAAGCTAAAAAATATGTTTCACGTAAGATCTAACGCTTGAATGTTGTTGTCTTAGGCCTCTAAAATTCTGTTGCCCAGGATTTACCGAATTACCTATATCAGTTCATGTGTGTTCTGGAGATAATTTGCTATTTCAATTTAGCAAATTTAGCTGCCTGAAAAATTTGAAACTTTAGTTCATTAGTTTTATCAGAATTACTTTAATTACGTAAGTACTTTGAAACTTTGAGATTCGTTTATTGATTGATAAAAGTTTTATTTCATTTGTAGGTAAATTTTTATTTGTAGGATTTTAACTATGAAATGAAAGTTCCAAAACGAAAGTTTGCTTCAGAGTAGCAAAATAGGAACATATAAGTGAAGCAGTAGTCGTGCATCGTTTCAGTTCTTTGCTTTCTGACTGATGGCTTGTTTGCTAATTTCTAGATTTTACGTCTTCGTCAAACATTTGCTTTTTCAAAGAAACAATTTATTTGTAATGATAGATTGTAATAGATTTATGAATAATGAAATCACTCACATTTTATTTACTGATTTATTTATGAATATTGTTGTAGAAAGAGTTAATTGAAAAGTAATTAAGTGTTTTTTTTTTCAGAGATTCATCATGGCAAATTCGTGATTCAGTATAGCGTAACACCAGAAGATTTATGACGTTATTCCCAAATGTAACAGAATCTGCTAGTATCATATTTGGAAACACAAACGTCCATGTTACTACTGAGGTTTATTATTTCTGTCTTCGCAGTTTTTTACTCATTTTTTAAAATTTTGCTACACTTTTTGACCACTTTTGCCTTTTTTTTACTTATTATACGTTTTCTTGTATTTATGAATTTTCATTGTCGACTATTTCAGCTTTTATGCGTTTTATCATAGAAATATTCTTACTTCTGAACTCTCATCTTTCAACTTTACTAAATATAATAGCAATTTTCTGTTGCTCGTTAGCCACTTCATGAAAGTCTTTTACGACTTTTTTCGGACACTGTAAACTATTTTAGCTTCTTAATGCGGTAAAATTTAGTCTTGGTTTAAAATTTATACTGTAATGACTAGCAGTGACATTTAATTATTTTTGTTTTTAAAATTTTATGCAGCAGGTAACGTGAAGCATGGCCTTGTGTCTCAGCTTGTTTTTATTGTAATTAATTTTTAGGATGTCCTTATTGACGCACATTTTAAAAATTTCATATCTCTTCAAGCATTTGGAAGCATCCTTCTGATAAATTTGGCAGTGTTTTAATTGGTATTGGTTTTTAACCAGGCTATTCAATGGTATTTTTTGTCTATTTTTCAACCTTTCATTGATTTTCAAATTAAATCAAATGTTATCAACTCAGTTTGATAGCTAATTACTTACTAATCTCATCTGCATAATTTGCAATAAAAAGTCTGAGCAGCGAAGTTTTCTTCTGCTGTGTGATACATTTATAATCTGTAAATGGTTAGAACTGTGGTTACGCATCTATGGACTTTCTGTGGCAAACTTGTCAAGGATGAGGTTGACGCATGCTTGTGTCGAGATTAATATTGGTGTCAAGTATATTTTTGCACAGCTACCCACATATCTCATTTTATGTTTGTTCCTTTAAATTTTGCACTTTCATCGCAACTTGTTCCACATGTTGAGAGATGTTCATTTCTATATTTATCACTTTTTTTTAGGTCAATAGTTACTCACTGTTTATTACAGTTTAGGTTGTGATAACTAATGAAAGGTTAGCTATGCTATAGTAGAATTCGTATTGTTTTTTCATCTCGTTAGATTGGTTTATTATTTGCTGACACTTTTACTGCACTTACTTTATCACAGATTTTCACCATGTACACTTTTTAAGCGTTTGTCATGCACAGTATCCTGTTCTTGGGTATGAGCAAATTGTGCTTAGTTTATTTTACACAACCATTCTTTCTTAATAATAATTATACAGCTAGTAAAATGGCATAGTTTATGCACGTTAAACAAAATTAATTTAACATCAATTAATTTTAAAAATTCACGTTATCTAGTAAATTCAAAGTTTGCTATCAGCTAAACACAATTAAAAATCCGTACCGTTTGTATATTTCAGTATTTTCCCACATATATTCTTCATAATGCTCTACTTTAGCATCGCTGAAGGAATCAGCGCTATTTATTTTTGTAGTTTTTTCGTGCTTAATTTCAAGTTTCCATGTTCTTATTCTTGAAAATGTGATAAAATTGTTCGCTACGACATATTCCATATGTAACAGAAATTACATGAAGGTGTTTGAAGAACACAGGTGCTTTAGAGCATACATTATTGCTATCATGTGCTGTGCTTATTTTAAGTATGTCTTGTTTATTTACGAAGCATCGTGTAAAAAATTTTTTTATTACTGTTGTTTTCGTGATGATTTTAGTAACTTCCTCATACTTATCAAATTTGTTCATTCCAGCGATAAATTGAAACGTAGTTGATATCGCTTGATGGGATATGGCACTTAAACGAATTCAGAAAGAATTGCAAGATTTAGGTCGTGATCCACCAGCACAGTGCAGTGCAGGTCCTGTTAGTGATGATTTATTTAATTGGCAAGCAACAATAATGGGGCCACCAGAATCACCGTATCAAGGTATTTAAATAGATCTGTGATGTAAGCTCAGTATAGATTTATGTTGTATGCGAAACTAGTTTTTCTTTTACAACTTTCTGAGACTGAATGAAGATTAGTTGATACCTTTAAAATTTTATATTATTATAATATATAGCATATATTTTAGACCATAGTGATACCAAATTTGATGAATTTATTAAACAGTGATTAAATAATACGTTTTTTAAATGAATACCACTTGCATTCTTAAGACTGAAATTTCTTATATTTATGTGAGAAACCAGCAAAGAGCAGTTAAAGTTTGCCTCATTATGCTTAATAATATGTATTGAGGTTTGCACAAAAAGCTTTCATTTAGCCGTGATATTAAGCAGTTAATGATGGAAGCTTTAAGACATGTCAAAGCAGTCTGTAGTTGAGAAAACTGCTATGAAAAGTTTAACACTATTTGCCATTCTTATTATGTCTTCGTTACTACTCTCTGCACTTTTCCATGAAATGCTTCAGGTGGCGTGTTTTTTTTAACAATCCACTTTCCGACGGATTATCCATTCAAGCCACCAAAAGTGGCATTCACGACACGAATGTATCATCCAAATATTAACAGTAATGGAAGTATTTGTTTGGATATACTTCGTTCACAGTGGTCGCCAGCACTGACGATTGCTAAAGTTCTTCTCTCAATTTGTTCGTTGCTTTGTGATCCAAATCCAGATGATCCACTGGTGCCAGAAATAGCTCGTGTTTACAAAACAGATCGTGATAGGTAAGATTTATTGTAAAATTTTCCGTAACTTTCAGATTTTTTTATTTTTTCGATTTTTCAGTGATCAGAATTCCACTATATCGTTTTGATTGTACATGAAGTAGCTTGAAGAAAAGAGTGAGCTTTGACTTTCAAAATTACAAATTTGAAAAGGAAGTGCAGGGAATTTCTTATCAGTTATAACCGGCAAGTAAAATTATGTACCAGTGTTAGGTGTTTATAATCATGATTGTGGAATGAACTGATGTGTTACTGAAAAAAAAATTGCATTGGTATTGATAAGTATGATTTTTTATCAGGCTCAAGCTTTAATTGCAAAATAAATGTAAATTTATCTCATATTGTATTAGAAGTATCATCTCTTTCTTTGGCAAGATTTGGAACTCATGATGATTACTTTTGACTAATGAAATTGAACTCAACTTCTACTTAATTTATATTTCTTTATCCTTCATCTTTTCTGCAGTCTAAAAATCAAACTATACATGACCAGTTGCAGGTATAATCAATTAGCTCGTGAGTGGACTCAGAAATATGCTATGTGATAACGTTGATGTGATATTTCTGACGGATGCTTGCGTTTAAACGGTTCACTTATACACTGCTTTTTAAAAAATTGCATGTATAATGAGTTTATTTCAAGAAATCAGTTTTTATTATTTAACACACTCCTTCAACAAAATAGCCATTATATAACACAAATTGACTTCAACCATTTAATACGTAAACAAAATGTGTGCATGAAGCAATTATCAATGCTCTCCTTGTTATCATTTCATTCAGTTTTGCTTCTGGAACAAAATTACTTCATCTTTTCTGGAACTTCATGATGTTCGTCACTTTAGTTGCATTTAAAGGATACAGTGTTAAAAAATGCATAAGTCAGTCTTTATTTTTCCATCTAAGCTTTAGAAGTATAATGTTGGAGTTCAAAGTCTGCAGTTTCATACTAGTGGCATGAACAGTTTAGTCAGATGTATCTACCATATATACATTGTTTGTTATTGCTCTTTATCAAACCACTCATATGGGTCAAATTAACTCTTATCTGCATTTAGTTTTCAAACTGAGTTGTTATAGGAATGTATTAAAGTTATTGAACTGAGGTAAGTCATGTTGTGCTAGAAAGTAACCAGTGTTTGCACTTGAAGGTGGTTTCGGTTTAACGGAGTTAAAGGTCCAGAATTCTTCAGAATTCAAATGACTTAACGTTTAATTTCTGGAGTTTTGATAAAGAGTAGTTTGAAAAAGACATAAACGACTGATGAACATTAATAAGAGGTCTTTAATTTTATTGCCTTAAATATTTTGCGTCATATAAACTAATAATAGTGCCATTCACTTCAACCACTTTTTGGTAGTAATTTAGATGTAGTTATCTGCGAAAACTTCTAAACAGAGCAAAATAGAGTGAATGACGTGATTCAATTTATCCCATAAAGAACGAGAATGCACAGAAGTAACGATGAAATAATGAGAATTTATATGTGCACAACCAACAACGGCCTGAAAGAAATTGGAACATGCTTAATTAAGGCTTGCATAGTCAGAGTTTTCAATATCTGAAATAAAGATGGTAACCATAAAAAGACACAAAGTAAATTGAATCACTGAAGTATTTCATTACAGGAATTTAAGATTAGTACGGGATGCAGAGGATCCAAGGCGCTCAACATGACCAGGAGAGAGCATATTTCGCTCTTACTCCTTAGTACATAGCTCTAAGAATAATCTAATGTAAAAGTTCCTAACATGTAGGAAAAGAAAGTCTCTAAAACAAATCCTGAAATTCTGTCATAAATCTAGCTGATCTTAATGCAAGAAAATCCTAAGATTGATTTAGTTACCAACAAGAACTTTTTACTAAATTGTTGTACAATTTTAAGAAATGCATAGGAAATGCGGTCTATAAAAAGTTTCACCTAACTAATGATTAAATAACTAGAATAATTACTTGAATTTACAACAGAACGAAATGAAATGTGGGCGGGAATTTTAAAGTGTTTAAAAAAATTACAAGCACTAAAGTTTTACTAATAGCATAGCAAAGATAAAAGGAGATGAACGATATTCTACGAAGTCAGAAACTTAATGTTTGGAGAAAACAGGAAATAACAGAATTTACAAATAATTATCAACTCAAAATTTATTTTCGCTTTGGAAGCACAACAATTTTATACCACTCAAGGTTTTTCAACACATTGCTAAGTCAGAAAGTAGTATTAAGAATGTTCTTAATCTCTCTCTATCCAAAAAAATGCTTGTAAAACCATACTGTTCAAGAAGCTCAATGAAACAAGAGTTGGAAGCAAGGAACACTGCATGATTAGTCGCAGCTAAAACGAGCTTTAAAGTTAGCTTAAATGTTCTCAATTTAAAATGATATGAAAAAACTATCCAATTTTCCCTGAGGTATGAAAATGAGGTAGTTCTTTTGCTGATGACAATTTTACTTGAATTTTACCAGTTATGCAGAGTCACAAGTTTTCAACTACACTACTGAAGTTGGCAATTTAAATGGTTTTTCGTTTCCAAAGTTTAGTAAGGTTCAGATTCCTATAAAGGACTTTAAAAAAATTTATAAGTAAAATCCGAGCAATTTTGCGACGAAAGGAACTGTATCTCTCTCAAACTGCTCAGAAAAGTGAGAAAATTGAAAAGGTGTAAAGAAAGTTCTCATTTTCTAACAAAAGGTAATAATATGAATGAGTAGCGTAATAATTCGGCATTTAAAAAATAGATTTTTGAGTTTCATTTAGTACCATTTTTTATTATCCTAAGCCAACATCCAAAGACATCATAATCAAGAAACCAGCAATCGAACTTAATGATGCCAGACGACCATTGCCGTTCCGCTGAGCTTCTGGAATAATGTCGTCGATAACGACATAAATCATCGCACCTGCTGCAAAACTCAACGCATATGGTAGTATTGGTTCGATTAAAATTACAGCCATCGAGCCAGCTAAGGCTGCTATGGGCTCAACCATACCTACAAAAAAAATCTTGATATATATATAATAATAATACACTTGTATTAAAACACACTTCTGCCTTGAAGAAGTTATTATTGCTCATTTTGTACATATAATTAGCTAAAATTTCCATAACAATAAAAGTCAATACTTCATAAGAACTACTAATCAATTTTATATAATCTAGCGAAATCTGGCGAAACCCAATCTGACATACAATTTGCTTTCCAAATCATAGTATCTCAAGCCTGGATTCCAAGTTTTCATAATAAAAGAATATTTTCTAGAAACAGTGCTAACTAACCAGAAAGTTGCCCATAAAAAAAGGATTTTATTTTACTGTGACCGAAAGCAGCAAGTGGAAGTGAAACAGCTAATCCCTCTGGAAAATTCTGCAGACCGATTCCGAGTGCTAAAGTAAATGCTGATTCAAAAGTTGCTTTAGCTGTTTTTCCAATCGAACCTGAAAGCAATCCCTTGAAATTCGTCACAACAAACAACTCTTCATGTCTACTGTTAAAACAAATTGTAAAAGAAAAACACGTTCATGACTGGAATAAGCATTATTATGTGGATGTAATTTTTTTGGTAAAACGGAAATATACCAATTAATTTTTGACTTCACTGCAATGCGCATTACTCTCTAAATTAAACGAACTAGCCCTTACTGATTTAAAGTAATGCTTAAAAGATACCGAATGCAACACCGACAGCAAGACCTTCAGGTATATTATGAACTGTAACAGCGACAATCAGCAGAAGAATACGTCGCCATGAGATAGCTGCTACAAGAGCGCGCTCTTTATCCGTTGCTCGGTTACCGTTAACCTTATCGTTGTCGATAACAGTGGTTGAAGTTATATCAGACGTACCTGCATCTGAGTTTCCCGCATTAGTATTATCTGACCTACAAATCTTGCTATGAATTTTTTTAAAGATACAGAACTTTTAGAATTTTAAATGAGCACAACATAAAAAATTATGCTTCAATTTTGACAGAAAATATGGGTTACAAAACTTCTACACATATAGCAAAATTATTCAACACTTTAAGACGGAAAACTTTTCAAGCAGTTCTAAACTACGTTTCGCTCATGACAAGAATTGTCAGCGATAAACAAGTACAGAATTTAATCAGTTTGCAGAAGATGAAACTCTAAGCAGGTGCTTAAATTCTGTATTTTGTTAATCACTGAAAGAATAAGAATCATACAAATAACTGTAATCCATACGGAACTAAAGAGGATTAGTTGCAACCTAAATGCAATTTCATACCACAAAATATGCCAAATTAAAAAGAGAAGAGTAATGCAAAATATTAATAACCATTCATATAATCCAAATTTACGGACGGATAAACTTTGTATTTCTCAAACTTCCAAGTCAAACTTTAAATTATGCAGGCAATGCTCAATCTACTACACTTGCCAAATATGCCAAACTACACAACGTGATATTATTTCAAATTCCTTTTTCTACGCAACTAGCATGTCTTCCTCTTTTTGCACAATTTGACATATATAAAATTAGAGTCCATATTCTTTCCAATGTTTTGTATGAATGATTTACAAACCAATTTCAATAATGCTTGAAGCAACTAGAAGCATGCGATAGTCATAAAAAAAGAATTCCATTATATGGAGGCCAACAGAGTTAAAGACTAAATCTATTATAACTAGTCAACTTTTGAAAAAGCCATTAAAACAGTGTGCGAAATGGTTTATTTTGCCTCCAAAGCAAGAAGAGAACAAAAAAGCAATGAAGCAAAGAATTTTTAAGGATTTATACCCATAATTTAATCTTTCCAAGCTTAAACGAGACGAAAGATGATATTTACTAAGTCAGATTCCCAAAACTAAAATGACTTTTTTTACGAATGTGAACGAACTAAAGAGGAAAATACTGCAAATTATCAAACTGCCTCAAAGCTAAGTCCTGCGCCCAATGACGGTTGGAGGGTAAGACCTATTTTCAGTCGTTCGCCGACGAATTATTTGCTCCGTTGGTTTTGCAGTAGTAGATCTATACCGTGTAGCATTGTTGCTTGATTCCTTCAGTCTCATCATACATACGTTTTCTTCGACTATCGCATCCAATTTCGAGAATGATCTTTGATCCACCGCGGATACGTCTTCTGTTAATATATCAACTACTGATATCTCCGAAAAAACGCAGCTGAAAATAAAACAGTAAATTTGTTTCACCACCACCAGACAAAACTGACACTCACAGATCAGCCATTTTTTTATAATAAAATAGACAAATTTCCATGAAATAAACACTTCTCTGAATAAATTTTAAAGTGCTTGCCCACATTTGCATATTTTGCAAGATATAAAAAGAAAGAAATCAATAACAGCATGAAACTCTCAGTACCTTGGCATGATCCGATCAGCTAAATATACAAAAAAGGCGCCAGCAACAAAACCAATACCAACTGGAATAAATGCTAAAGATCCTATTCCTGCTTCTGCTAATTCAATTGCTGGTGCTAAAAGACTCCAAAAAGAAGCTGCTGTCATGATTCCGGCGGCAAAACCTAGGCTTATATCTGTAAACCAAACACTTTTAGGCATATAAATCTGAGACAGATGACAACTCAATTCAATAATCCCAATCATTATTAAACTCATCACTGTTCCTCTAAGAGTTTTTGTGTTTCTCTAATATTATTTATAACAGTGTTAGAAAATATAATAATAATATTAATCATGGCATTAGAAAAATACAAACAATCAAACTTGACGATTTTAACAAAATTGTATTTTTTTTCATTAATGAAAGATTTTTTAAACTTTTAGGAAATATAAGTTTAATGAGTGCTCACCTAGTAGTTTTTTGCTTGAAGGTGGTATAAGGAAGACAACGGCAGCTCCAAGAGCGGTGATCCCCCATGTAAATAATGAGGCAATAAATGCCTGAGGTATAGTATTCCAGCTTCGAATCATCGAGTCAGAAAATTGTTATACTGAGAATAAATACCATTACGCTTAATCTTAGCAAGTAATGCTGCGAAAATAAACACATTTAAAAATTAAATTGCACTATATAAGGTATCAATCAGTTTAAAATTTGAATTATATTCAAATTTCTGATCATAAATAATTAAAATGGTATATAAAGCATTCATTTTGTAATAATTAAGTATTCTCAGCAATCTACCTTATCATCTCATCTTAAATATAGAGGTGTTACATGAGGAAAGAAAAGTAAACGATAACAGCGTTTCCACAGAAACGTAGTTTGAAAGTTACAAATAAAAAATTAATGAGTGAGATGCGTAACGGAACAATTAACATGGTGATTAGAAAAGCTGAGTGCATTCCTTTAGTACGTGTAGGTCACAGAATAGAACATTTTCTCGCACAGGCTAATACTCATATAGAATATTATTAAAAATGGAAATCATACAGAGTTAGTTTCATGCAACACAAATAACAAAGAAATGAAAATAAGAAAATTAAAAAACACTTTCAAGAACTGCAAATTAACAAGTAAACTTTCACAAATAAAAAATGTAACAACGATTGTTTAGTTATATACATATTACAATCGTAAAACTAACTGATAGAATGCGTACTGCAAAATTTGCGTGTTTCACATAATCTAAACGTAAACTTTCATTGATAAATTTTTGATAATGAAAGTTTAAATTGAGATCAGGCGAAAAACGCGAACGTACGCAGCATAGATATGTACCATCAAGTGCGAATATTAAAGAGCAAAAAAAAATGAAGTAAGAACGGAAGACAGCTGATAATAAATATATCTTTGACAGAATTGAACTCACAAAGTTTAAAAAAGTAAACCAAAAAAATAGAAAAAAGAACAAACTTTTAAATAAAATGAATGTGCAAGGTCACATAGTACTGAACATAAGCACAAAGAATGATGCACCGGGATAGAACCAAAATGACCCTTGGATGATCGCCAACATGACCAAATTATTGATGCCTTCAAAAATAGGCGAAACTGATCAAGACAAAACAAGGGAACAATATGCAACTTATCGTTTCTTCAATTTTGAAATGAAAAATGTTGACAATTTGCATAATAGCAGTAT